TTGTCCAATAAATCAGATAATTAGCTTAAGTTTTGGAATGGAAACAGTTGTGCTTAGCTGGATTGATCCATTTACTGCCATATCCCCATGTTAAACAAGACTCCAATTAGACTAGACAGAGGCTTGTAGCCTAGATACGACAGCTGAGGCATGAGCATAATTTTTCTCCCGTAACAACAAGTACCTTCAAAGGAAAGTGCTAAAAATAGTAATATAAAAATGTTCAATGTAACCTTTGCCGATTAGGATCCTATTGAGGGGTTGGTTGGAGTGTTGATTGCATCAGAAAAACTCAGGATGTTTGCGATACAATTAATACGAATAATATCCATTTTCACATTTTTACTAATAGGATGAGCTTAAAATATGGTTAATTACATTTTGCACAAAACCTTATTTGATGAATGTTATTCTATTGGTATAGATCACAACATTTTAATGATAAATCCGAAAAGTTGAAAATATTTTCTCATGCACTCAGGAAGATATTAATTGGGAAATTTGCTATTGAGCCCAATTTCTGCAAAATAGGAGCATACATGGCTGTCCAGACATGTGATTAGTGCACTCTGAATCGTCGAAACGTGAAAATGCTTTCTTGTGCTTTTACCACCTATACATCATCAAATTTTAATCTTGATCCCAGAAAGCGGTATTGCGGCAACCAACAAGCCAAAATGATTCTCTCGTCTCGTTACTTTTCTCCCGAAATTGATAGGTGAGTTTAAACTTTTTTTTGAAACAGTATAATATACTAAATCATCATTTTCGAAATTGATGATCGCTACAAAATAGCACTTTTTATTGCCCAGTACGATTTCTTTTTAGCATATCATAACACGAAATAATACAAGTTTTGCACTCGGAATCGCCTACCTATCAAGCCGAATGCTGAGTAATTTTAAACGCTTGCCCCATTAAAATTAGCTAATTAAGAAGAAATATTTGAAGTAAAGTATGATTCTTTACACCCCGTCGCCTAGATAACAATTGGCAATTTTACTACTTTGTATGAACATCAAATATTGTATAAGCATACTTCGAAAAGCTCATATACCTGAGAGTCGTGAATGATCTGCTTTGTCTTTAGAGTCAAAGGTTTTAATGCAGCCACAAAGCTTTGAACTCCAACCACACCAGGTTTGATGATGGGACTTTGGTATGGTTAAGTCTACAGTCTCTTCTGCACTGACACAACCATGAGCCTTCTGGAACCGAGAGTGGTTCATCCGTTTATGCCAACAAAACAACGGAACAATCAATTTATTTTAAATCAAATGCTTTTCCATCATGGATTTGGGTTCACGAATGACAAATCAAATGCATGATTTTTAATTAGGCAAGAAAATTAGTCTGTTCATTTTTATTATATAGCTTTTCTCTATCGGTTTACCATCAAAGAAACACGGAGGCACTCTGCCACAACTTTTTATGCAAAAGTGATTTCCCATCCTAAGGCCTCCCCTGCTATCGTGAGCCCAGTTTTAATGGTATTATAAAATGGAAGGTATGATCTCAGAAGAGTGTTTCAAGGAACTTGTATGGCTTACAGAAAAGACTGGGACTTCTGAAATCCCAATTTAGGACTACCGATGTATAAAATGACACACATTTGAATATGTAATCTTATCCAGGCTTTTTTAATTAATAAATATAACACCGATGCACCAATGCTATAATATGGTGATATTAGGTAAACCTCGATGAATTTGATTTAAAAAATGTTCACATGCAGTTCATTGAAGACTAGTTGTCAGAAAAATGGATAATATCTCTCTTCTCAAAGCTTGACTTGATATGGGTCAAACGATACACATCCTATAAAAATTGGCCACAGATAGCTGCAAAGTAATGTTTCACTAGTGACAATTCAGTAGACACTCTAGTTCAGTGTTAAACCCACATTTGCCTAACGATACAGCATTCCTCATCAACCGTGTGAGTTTAGCATAGCGGCCCACCTTGCCTCATTAGTCACACTGGAGGTTCAACTTGTTTTTGACTCCATTACTCGGATTCTGGTGTGAATAATAGTGATAAAATTAGGCGATTTAGAAGCAGGTCTTTGGAATCTATGGGTTAATGAACTTTAACTCAAACTTCTTTGGGGGGAGATTGTCAACTTCTCTGCATTAATAAACCATTCAAAAATGATACAAGTCGGATAAATTTTGGTAACTCTGTCGCAATAAAATTATAGGTCGCTCCGTTGGTGAAGTGCATCTAATCTTGATTGGCATACCTCTCTTGATTATAAGTAAGACCGAAGTAGGTAATTCAACTGATTTGTACAATATCGCTGCTAATTTGGGCCGCATCACATACCAATCATATGTTTGAATATCCTGAAAAACTTCAGATAATATTTAGGCCAAACTCACTGTGTTGACAAGACGAGTATCTCGGCGCTTGTCGACATTCAAAGGTTTTTTTATCACAATATCACCGTTCGTCTTGACTTCGAAGAACTGGCGATCGGCCAACTCTTCACGACGCCAAGAATGGTCGCGGCTGAAGGCAAAGTGAAAGGCTCCGTTCTGACCAGCGTCCCGATCGGAGGCCTTCAAGCGAAGCACAGTACGTCCAACCGGTGTTACCTCAGGAATCGGCGTGGACGTCTCAAACTTGGCCTGCTCGAAAAGGGGCGGGTTGTCATTGACATCCTCGACAATCACGCTGACTGGTAGAACAGCCCGCAGAGGTCGGAATCCCGGCTCTCTGTCGAACAGATTCATGGCGGCCATGGCTCCCAGATCATCGGAACTGGAAGATCCAGAACCGGACGCCAGACTGCCTTCCGAGGGCATTGCAGCTTGGGCCCTAGTAGCAGTTGCTATGGGGTCGGAGTCTTCGGCATGTATGGCGCGATCTTCTGCAATCAACAAGAAATGATAGGCGGCCGCTTCCTCGCGATCCACCGTCTGCATGGCCTGTAGAAGAAGGAGGCCATCCGCGCCGCCTGGCTGATGCGTCAGACGAAACGGAAGTGAACCCAACTCGAGGCTGGCCGAGGCGGAATTTGAGAAGCCTGAAGATAAAGCGTGTGAAGATGGCGAGGCAAAAGCGCCGACATGAGGAGTGGGCACCTCAAGGCGATACGAAACACGACTGTTCAGTCCATCGTCAATATCCAATGCAGTGGGTAGAGGTCGAGATTCTCCAGCTTTGTCTCCGTCTCGGAAGCGAATCTGAGGAAGAAAAGGAACATGTGACTGACTAGTCTGCATCAAGATCAAGAATTTACCGACAAGTTTAATTAAGAAGTCGGTTGACCCTATCCATGAGATGTAGTCACCCTATTTCCTTAAGATGATGAAGGACATGTAGTTGCATTTTCTCCCAGTGCTATGAGTAGACCCTACGCTCCCATTGAATATCACATAGTCTTGCTTAAATAAGGCTGGACTGCATTTTCTACCTCGTCTAGGTCTCTTCAGCACCTCCAGTGGGATTCACGCCGTGGTAGTTCAGCGTATTATCTCGACACGTTAATCACTATGTCATACTTTCACGAGTTCCTTTGTGTGATGGAGAAGATGTGAATTTCAAGTAAGGCCAGGCATTTTCCCATATCACATCCGGTGGTGGGATTATCGATTAGGCATAGTTGCATTTGCTGTCAATCAGCTAAATTACCTAGTCAAACGTAGATACGAAGACCAAGATTTTATGGCTCAGAAAGATAAGAAACGGACATAAGGGCCCATGAGGCAGATCCTGAGAGGAGGGTCGAGTCCGCACACCCACTCAAAAAGGAGGGAAGCAAGGCAAACAGCAAGTATCATGAAACCACAGTACATTTTCCAAAAGGGTAAGTCTCATGTGGAATATAAACATGTCAGAAGTTGTGATAGGACGAGGGCGCGACAAGAGGGTAGGAAATGAATAGAGAAACCAGGACAGAACGAGGAGTGAT